CGCGCATCCGCATCGAGGAGTGACAGCAAGGCACGACCACGCAAGGCCTCAACAAGTGGGGGTTTAGGGTTTAGGGTTTAGGGTTTAGGGTTTTAGGGTTTAGGGTTTAGGGTTTAGGGTTGAGGGTTTCGGGGGTTTGGGGTTTCGTGGGTTTAGGGCATAGGGGCTTAGGGTTTGGCCCTCAACCCAAAGAAGCAGCCTCCATCCTCGACCGTTTGTAAAGGAACCACCTGGGTCACGCTGTGGCGCGGCGGTGGATCCCGCTGCTGCAGAAATTGGATAGGCCTTCAAGGTTCAGGGTTTGGGAGGTCTTTGAAGGTAACGATTTGATTCAGAGAGGTTTCGGGGTTGCGTGGTCCGGCGAGGTTACCATACACGCCGATGGATCGGAAAGAAGCAGGCTTACCAAATACCGGGGCCACTGTTATACACACAGCTCTTTCCGTGGCCCAGAACCACCATCTCTCTGGGGTGTGTGATCGGTGCTTGGGCGCTCTCCCAAGACCTCTTCTTCACGGTGGGGTCAGTCCCTTGGTCTGACTTCAGCAACGACTTCGGCGTGTTGCAGCCATGTGCATAGCAGAGTCATCGCCAGAGGAAGGTGCTCTACTTATTGTGCGAACTGCAGGGCGTTACTGCGATCATGGCTCTGTGCTATCTAGAGGGGCTTGGCGGATTCAGGTTCGGTCTGGCGTGATGAACAGCTTTTCGGCTCCAGATCGCTTTGGTTTTAAGGAAGATGGCTGTGTGCTCGCTCTGCCAGCTAGCCGAAGAGCAACGGGACTCAGTAAGTAGGTGTCCCGTAGTGGGGGGCTGCTAGATTCTTCAACTGCCCGAGTCACCAGAGCACCTAAGGCTTTACTGGCTTCCACGGTCATCATTCTGCCACTTGCCTGCAGCCCACGGTGGTTTTGAAATGATTCGGCCCAGGGCAGTTCAAGTCGAAAGAAAGTAGCACCCAGAACTCGCAGGACATCTCGATTTCAGAGCTTCCTGAGCCTTCGCGGTGAAGTTGGGGGTGGCAATACAAAAGACCCCATACGCGTGTGCTCGCATACGTAGGCGCTACTCTGCATGCGGCTATTGGTTTTTGCTGTTCCCCCCAAACCGGTAACACGGGGTCGAAGCACAATTTCTCGTGAGCTACATCTCTGCAGATTGTATAATAGAGAGAAGTCTGTATCATTTTCAGGCCTAGTCCCTGAACCCTAAACCCTAAACCCTAAGCCCAAACCCTAAACCCTAAACCCTAAACCCTAAACCCTAAACCCTAAACCCGAAACCCGAAACCCGAAACCCGAAACCCAAACCCAAAACCCAAAACCCAAAACCGCAGGATGTGGTTCGGTAGCCCCCGCTACCGGGACAGCGAAGTCTTGGCTTCGAGCCTCGTTGCTGTGTGCTGCTAGGCGGAGCTTCGGGGCTTTCCGGGGTTTAGGGTTTTAGGGTTGTTAGGGTTTGTAGGGCTTTTTAGGGTGTTTAGGGTTTCAGGGATTTGGGGTTTGGGGTTTAGGGTTTTAGAGTTTAGGATTTTGGGATTTGAGTTTTGGGGCTTCGGAGTTTTGGGGTTCAGGGTATTGGGGCAAGAGCGGAAGAGAGTATTCAAGGCTGTAGAGCATGTTTCTGGGTTCTGGGGTTTTGGGTTTGCAAGGTTGGGGGCTTTTGGGTTTCGGAGACATGCCTTTGGGGTTAGTAACTAGGGCGGGTACGCTTTGGGGAGTTGAGTAGGGACCAGTCGTTTCTGGATCCCGTTCAGATCCCGTTCAGTCGCAGCAAGGCTGTCCTTAACGATTTTATTTCATCGCAGGTCCAGTCCATGTTGCGCACACATCGGCATCACTTTGCGCTTCCGACTGCTGTTCTAGGCATGTGTATGGGGTAACCAGGTTGCAAGCAACAGGCACTGCAGCAGAGTCTGAATTGTAGCGAAAGGTCATCTGACAAGCTCCACCCTGTCGCAATGGCTGCTGCTGCGGCTAAAGATGAAGCATGGGAGGGAGATGAGGAGTGGGAAGAAGAGGAGGAGGATGAAGAGTGGGAAGAGGAGGAGGAGGAAGAGGAAGATGAAGAGTGGGAAGAAGATGAAGAGTGGGAGGAAGGCGAATCACTGGGCAAAGTTGGTGAATGGGAAGATTCCTCTAACGGCGAAGACTCGGAACATGGCGAGACGGAAGAAATAGGTCGCCTGCAGAAGTGGTTCCACAAGCCGAGGGGCTCGTTTGGTTTCATTGAGTGCCTAAATGCACGTGACAGTGTTTACGTCTATGGCCACGTCTTGGTCACCTCTCTTGGCATCTTATACGAAGATGTGCCACATTATTTTGGCCGGTTTGTTCGCTTCAAGATGATTCGGAACCACCGCGGCTGTAAGGCTTCGGAGCCCATGGAACTGCTCCCTGAAGGGTTCGAGGGTGAGGAGGCTCTCAACACTGAGCTCGACACGAGAAGGGAAAGCAGATGGCGAAGGATCAAGACAAAAATGAATCAAGAGAGTCGCGAGAAGACCCAGCAGTGGAAGCAGTTCCAAGAAGGACGGCCTAGGGCAAAGAGAGACGTTTGTTCGAAGTAGCGTACAACAGAAGGTGTGATTCTGGTAGGCGAACATGAAGAACATTATTGTGATTGTTCGGACCCCTTCCCCTGAGGACGTGGCTTGGGGAACACGAAGCGCTTAAGGCACTTGTGCCTTATGCTGAAGATTGGCAGGAACACGGTTGTCAAAGGCTCCGCGGCTCAAAAACTCATGTTTTCACACTACGTGTTTTTAATTCGTACCACAGACAAAACATCTGCCAGCATATCAGGTTATCCAGCGCGCAAAATTACAGCAAAATACACAGAGGGAAAAGAAGCGCAGCTGTACCTGCTCAAGAAGCCGGTGAACTTCAAGTGCCTGCACGGCGGCCAGGTGACCTCTTGCTACGTGGCTTTGGGACATGGGGGCGAGGTCTGGTCTTATCAGCAATACTGCAAGTTTACCGGAAAGGGAAAAGGTAAAGGGAAAGGCAAAGGTGGCAAGGGAAAGGGGCAAGGGAAAGGGTCAGGGAAAGGCACAGGAAAAGGCAAAAGCCAAGACAAAGGAGGCTTTGCAGGCAAAGGGGGCAAAAGGTAAAGGAAGACTTGAAAGGTCCCGAAGACGAACCTGCGGCTTTGACGCCTAGACGTTCGTCAAGACGTTCCAAACCTCAGCCCTGCCACGTCTGCTTGATCGAAGCAGTGACCCTGATCTGCTCGCTCGACGGAAGCACTTGCCATGTTGAGCATTTTTGAGCCCACAGCTCGTTTCAAGTTGCGTAGTGGCGAAGATGAATGGGTGATCCGAGTGAGCTGGGTCTCCGGAACCGCAATCTGTGTGGCTTCATGCCATCCTCAAGACACAGAAGGAGTAGTTTGATCTGATGGCTAATCTCCCAGTAAGGAGACCCAGGCCTGGTGGCACCAGCTCTTGATTCAGCAGTCCCCGATGTCACGCCTGCCGCTCCACAACTGAAAGATAAATCAACCTGCTCCAACCCGTAGCCTCATAATCCCGAATCTCCACGCAGTCAGAATAGAATGAACTGGTTGTGAATACTAAAGTAAAGAAGCTGTGCAGCTCGGAGAAAGGGATGGGCGCCCACCTTCATCAAGCCCTAGGGTTCAACGGGACAGCAGCGGCCTGCCAAGCAGATGCTGCGCAGATGAATGGCGCTTTCATTGCTTCTAACATGTCGCTGCCGGGTGTGAAAAGACCCGGTGACCCGGTGTGCTAGCAGTTCAGTAGAGGGGAACTAGTCACGGAAGTCTTGCGGCGGAAGTCTTGCAAGTTCCTGATTTCCGACCGTGCAATGGCACCACTAAGTTACAGTAAGTCTTTGTGGGGGTCGTTTGGCAAGATCGTGAGGCGAGAACAACGTGTTGACACCGAAGCATCGTGATGTCGTAATGTTTTATGCTTGGGCTGCAGCGGACCGCTCCCTGGAACCTTAGATAACGGGTGCAAGGTCACGACTGACAAGGCTTCGAAGGGCCTCTGGAGTCTGCATATGTTGTGTGGTATTGGCGACCCCGAAACCAAATAAAGATTGAACTAGCAAACCTATCGCATGGGGCCTTGTTGGCAGGGGTCGCGGACATTGTCCTAGCGATAGAACTCCTTTCGTAGTTTGAATACAGTTTTGCCGCAATCCCGAAGCCCCATTCTAATCATTAGCGCCCCTATATCGTGTTAGCATCGTGGGAGCTGGAGCTTGCAAGAAAGGAAATGGACCTGAAGCATAGCCTCAGAGGCTTGTCAGATCCCAGGCATTCTCTATGGGCTCCTTCCCATGCTCTTCTACCGGGAATCCCTGGACCTGTGGCCGCAAAGTTTGAAATTGTATGGCTTTTTTATGGTTGAGGGCTAAAGGTTCCAGGGTCCAGGGTTGAGGGATTCAGGCTTTGGGGTTTCGGCTTGGGGGCGTGCATGTCAGAAGTGCAAAGATGCGCCCAGACTCACCCGAGAGTTCTTCAAATCGGAAAGGCCACTCAGGATTCCTTGAAATTCCCGCTACGGTTTTCGGGGGTCAGGGCCTCAGCGTCCTAAACTCTAATCCCGCCGTAAACCGCTTAAGGCATACCAAAACGCCAATATCCAGCTTTAAACTATACGCTCGCTCCCGCAACCCCTAAACCCCAAAGCCCTGAACCCTAAAACCGAAGCCCCCGAAGCCCTAAACCTCTGCACCCGTGAGCCGTGAACCCCCCAACCCCCAGCCCTAAGCCATTAACGCTTCACCCGGGTACCCTAAACCCTAAACCCTAAACCCTAAACCCTAAACTCTAAACCCTAAACCCTAAACCCTAAACCCTGTAACCCTAAGCCCTGAACCCGGTGAGCCTCCCGAAAAGCTCCGCAGAGGACCACTGCGTCTGGCCGGCTGGTGGTGCCATCCTCGCCGGCTTCGCGCTCTTCCAGTTCGATCCCCTAGGTCAGGAGTGTAGGATTTCGGATTAGATTTAGGAGTGTGTATTTTTTGGGTTTTGGGGTTTTGGGGGATCTAGGAATTTAGGATTCGTGGTTTAGGGGTTCAGGGCTTTGTTTCTGTGGGGGGGTAAGGGCTGTTTTGGATTGACGCGAACGGTTTATGGGTTCAAGGCTTGGACGTTTGAGGTATGCAGTCGGAGTTGGGTTTAGGCTTTGGAACCTGCAGGAGGTTGGAGGGAAGGTTAGACGATCGGACTTTGGGCTATGGCTATGCGGGATGGAAGACCGGACAACCTCTACTCAGACTGGAGAGGGTCTTTGTGGATGATACTCTTTTTGAGGTCTAGGGTGTAGGGTTTAGGGTACTTGGGCACTGTGAGTTCGGCGCTTTCTGGCTTTAGTCTTGCCACAGTCGCTTGCCAAGGCCGTTGTTTGCACGGCTGTATTGGTGTTATGCAGTCGAGCTAAACTCCGAGCTACACCCTAAATCGTAGATTCCAAAACTAATGTAAATCCCACGGTTTTTCCATGCGAAGCAAAAGGGGGCCTCAAGCCACCAAAACGACCCCTGCAGAGGTGTTTGGACGGATTCCGTCTGGCACCTCGTTCTCATCCCGTATGCCCACTTCTGTTCGCTCTCAGCCGTGCGAATGGACCAGCGGCTCTTTGGGCATTGCCTGAGCCCTTCCTAGCTTCGGAGATGGGCATGTGTCCGAACCCCTAAACCCTAAACCCCAAGCCCAACATCTCCATACGGTTCTCCGGATCTTCGAGATTTAGGGGATGATTCGACACATCTTCAGGCTTCTCACCGTGCGGCAAAAGGTCGCCATTGGTTGTCTGCCGGAAAAATTCGCAGGTGTATCGGCGCATCAGGAGAAGCATCAGGAGACTGAGACTTAGAAGACCGTATTGGTAGAGGGGAGGTTCGTCCCGCAGGCGTGTGATCGGATTAATGTAGACATGTTGAACTGGTCCACGCCCAGCGGTGGAAGAGTTGCAGCACCAGCCCCAGAGTTTTCAATAATAGGGCACCCTAATATAGTACCCTATACAGCAGGATCCGTATTCAGGGACCCCCCAAAAAAGGTACCTCCTATTTTCTGGAACCGTATTGGCCCTGGAAGGCCTTGGGGCAGAGCCCTCCGCCTCCCCTCGTGGCGAGCGGGGACCTCGCGGGTCCTGCGTCGTAGAGGAAAGGCTTTCAGGTGAAGGGTGTAGTGCTGTGTAGAATGTAGGGCCTTAATAATTAGAATAGGGTTTTGGGGTATATTATACTATGATTATAATATGGAACCACCAAAACGTTATTCTAATCACTAAGGCCCCTACATTACTGCCTAAAACCAAGGCTGCTCTAGTCTGGTGGGTAGCGAGATGAAGCCAGATTTACTCGCAGGGGTGGGTTTACCGCTTGCGGGAGGTGATTTTGTGTCAGCGGCAGCAGTATGTCCCTTGGCTTGGGTATGCAGGTTGTGCACGGCCAGTTCGAAGGTACGCGAGTCGCGCGGTGCTGCTGCTGCTGATGATGATAATGATGAAGTGGTGATGATGATGATCATGATGATGATGACGATGATGATGATGATGAAGACATGATGATGAAAAAGCGATGATGATGATGATGATGATGAGGATGATGACGGTGATGATGACGATGATGATGCTGATGATGCTGACGATGATGATGCTGATGCTGATGCTGATGCTGATGATGGTGGTGATGATGGCACCAAAGCCACAGGCTGTCTTGCAGGCCACCCGAGTCTGCACCCCGCACTCCAAACCTGCAATCACCTCCAAGTCACTTCGACTAAGATGCCCTAAAGGCCTGGCGACGGCCCTGGAGACCCTGGCGCCTGTGGAGTTGTGCGCGGCTCTTCGGTGCAGGGCCTGAACTTAAAGCGTCCAAGCAGAAAGCTTAGGGTCTGGGGTTTTAGCCGGTAGAGTGCCCTGGTTCCGGGTTTAAACGATTTCTGACAATGCTGTCTGAACTAGCAGCCCTGATGACAAGCATGATGACCCAGCAGTTCTTCGTGCTCCTCTGCCTGCTGAGGTTGCTAGTTGGCGTAGTTGCATTCATAGATGCAGTGGGGCTCGGTATTGGTGTCGGCATGTCTCGTCGGCCTCAGAGTGCAACTAGTACTAAGGAGTAGAAAAGTAAATAAGGAAGTGGTAGACAAATCGATACACAAACTAGTGATGCACACACATATGCAGACATATGTACATATGTGTATGCATGCATGTGTGCATACATACACACAGGCGCATATATATATATATACATATATGTGCCATGGACCTTTATGTA